CACAAGCACGCTGAGTGCATAATACTATCCCTGGGGAGACAGATTGCGTCGTACGCTACAAAACTCAGGCACAACTGAGGTGCGATATATGATCTGAATCTCAAGAGCCATCCTGCTCGCATAACACCATTATTACACGGAACCTCAACACATAAGACAATTATCAAGCCGTCTCACAACTCATATGGCACAATATAGTATTACATGTAATAGCCGATGACGAGATAACACCCAACGTCCGAATACTCCTCCATATTAAGGAGTGCTATGCTGAGATGAACACATCTGGCCTGATTTGGAGCCCATATTCATATTTAAATCCACCCATCGACCTCGAGCCAATTCTGACTGCACCGTACTAGGCTAATAACCTTTCAAGGGTCCATAAAAACCCCTTTTTCCCATGACTCGCTATAACAACCCTCATATCCGGAGCAAACCTCCATAGTCCACAACCCAATAAACCGAGTGCCCTCCAGGCATAAATTCTCAAATTAGTGATACTACCACAATCTTCACACTTGGTTTAAATCTTCAATTAATCAAGTGACTACATGTCACACTTATACAATCTTCCCGTGAGATACGCTCCCACGATCTTCCGCACTAGGTAACAAGTCTGCACATCCATACCACCGGTCACACTAATGTTGTAAAGCAAATCAAGAATCCGTAACCAAGATGCAAAGCCTCCAACACAATATACTGATTTCAGGTGACGCTGAAGACAATACCGGCCTACTCCAAACATCCAAATCCCCTTCCTGCTCATCCGAGCTCGTGACATCCTTGTCAAACACTGAACCGCAACCTTGATCCTCACTTTCAATTTTCATACCGCTCACTGCACCTAACAAGCCAATATGCGATAGTACAACAATTTCATCATAACTCCTGAACCACTAACATGGTAAACACTTCATCACCTAGAAACTTTTTACTTAACTCATTCCAAGAGAACCATAGCAACACGCGAGTAACTTCTCATAACCATAGAACATTCAAATTCTCAAGTAGTGGTCTAAACCACCATAACCCTTACGGGTTCCGCCTACACATAACATGCCATAATACTTGAGTACTTCCAAATAAAATCAATTACGGCGGGCGTCGAGCCTCGCACATACCGCGACCACTATGCCAATTCAACCATGGCTAACCAATCTAACTTCTTTTATCCTTAACTTTTCACGTTCGTGAGAGTATCTTCGCGAACGCGAAGAAGAAAGACCAGAAACACTGACTGCAGCAAAACACACCAGATTTCTAAGTGTAAATCATCCCGTAGCCTATCCGAAACTCACCCGAGCCCTCGGGGCTCCAAACCAAACATGTACATAAGTCTTAAAACATCATACGAACTTGCTCGCGTGATCAAATCGCCAAAATAACACCTAGAACTACGAATTTAGCATCAAATTGCATGAAATTTTCAAGAAAGTTCAAAAGTTCTATTTTCTCAACCAAAGGTCAGAATCACCTCAAATCAGTCCCGTTCCTCACCAAATTTCACAGATAAGGTATAAATATCATAACGGACCTGTACCGGGGTCCGAAACCACAATACGGATCCGGTATCAACAAAATTAATCATTAACCAAATTCTTAAAACCTTTATAATTCCAGTTTAACAATTTTCATCAAAAATTTATTTCTCGGGCTAGGGACCTCGGAATTCGATTCCGGGCATACGCCCAGGTCCCATATTTTACTGACCCTCCGGGACCGTCAAAACACGGGCCCGGGTCCATTTACTCAAAATATTGACCGAAGTCAACTAAAATCAACTTTTAAAGGCAAAAATTATTATTTTCTCAAATTTTCACATAGAGGATTTTCGGAAACGTGCCCGGAATGCGCATGCAAATCGAGGAGAAATAAGATGAGGTTTTGAAGGCCTCGGAACCCCGAATTGGGTTCTAAAACACGAGATGACCTTTCGGGTCATCACACCATGATTTTGGACATGAAACTGAGAGTAAATTATATATTTGAGTTCGTGAGGTTATGGGTAAACTTTATCTTCGAAAAATTTTGGAATCCAGGCAGTGGGCTCGAGGGTGATTTTTATCGACTTTTCAATCGGGGTTAGAAATTGTTATAAATTGGATTATAATGAGTATTCGAGCGTATATTAATGGGTTTGCATAATTATTGGCTAGTTTTGGAGCGTTGTGCATCGTTTGAGTCGTCGGAAGGGCTTGGAAGCCGGTTATTAAACTTCGGAGCGAGGTAAGTCTCCTTTCTAACATTGTAAGAGGGAATTAACCCCATACGTGTACTTACTGGGTACACGTTGTTTTCGTACTCATACTACACTTGCTGTGCATTTTTGTTGCACATGCATATGTACGTCTAGTGGCCTCGTTGGGTGCAGCGGCATGGTCGACACGGAGACTTAGGTGAGCTGCATCTCTCGAGACGACCCGCAGCCAGCAGAGTCTCTTTAAGAGTATTGTATTTCTTTTCTGTCCAATTGTATTCGGACAGTTTTCTTTATTTCCTAAAAATTGCTCATGCACTTGTGACACCGGGTTCTGGGATGACTATGGGATTATTCAATATTTAAGTTTCTTATAGACATCATTATTTATTCAGTGAAATTCATTATTTATTGTTTAAATGTATGAAAAAGAAATAATTTCAAAAATACTAAAATGAGAATTTAATTAACTTCTTGGTGTTGGCTTACCTGACAGTGGTGTCCGGCGCCATCACGACCTTTAATGGATTTTGGGTCGTGACACAATATGTGTGATGCTTTCTTTTGCAAATTAATATTTGTTTAACTCTGTTCGACTTAAAATTTTACCACATATTTAAGTATTTTTTACCAAATTTTATTTAACATTGATCATATATAGTTTGTCATGACAATAATACGTAATCACGCATTAAAGCTAATTGCCCTAACATGAACTCATGTCATATTAAGCGAGCTACGTTAATATTATCATAATCTAGTCAAGAACGAACAAGTGAGGGAGATATCTTCTAAGCTCTAGGTTAACTTTTTTAGCTCAAATTACTCTAAATATGAATGAAATGATAGACAGATGAGTACAATTTGCTACAATTATTATTGTCGGTATTGATAATGTCCTATGTTTCTCCATTTATTCCGTGGCGCGAAATGAAAATGATTTATTACTGTAGTCTCCTCAGTATTCATCTAAATAGAAACTGAATCATGTAGTACCTTTTAGATGTCAAAGTCACAAGGACAAAAGCAAAGCGATACATTTATTTTCCCTCTCTATCGGCATGACGATATATACGTTAATTTTTCAGACATCGATCCAAATAATTAGAGCATTCCATTCAAAAAATTAAATTATAGATAGAATTATTCAAGGTACCTATGTACCCTTTCGGAAATCTACAACCAATATGGGACTTATTCATTCTTAGGGGTGTACAAATTGAACCGAAAAATCGCACCAAATCGAAAAGTCAAACCAAACGAATTAAAAAACCCAGTGATGTTTGGTTTTATTTGGTTTGGTATTGAGTAAAACAATCCGAACCAAACCGATATATAAATATATAATTTATATATATACTTTTAAGATTTTATATAGAATTTTCTTTAAAAATATTTAGAAATATTTAAAATTCTCTTATGAGATGTAATATTTAATAGAAAATGGAAGTGCTCCATTTTTATTAACTTTATATAATGTGTTGTATGATCACTTTCTTATCAAGTGTTACTGAAATGCGTCAATCTCTTTGTTTTTTCGTATTCATATGTCAAGATCTATTTTATTCTTATATCTTTTTCGAATTTATAGTGGTATTTCAATATTGAAAAATATTGAAAATTAAATAGCACATATTATTATTTAGGTATCATATTGATATTTATGTTTAATTATTGAATTTGGTTAACTTTGAAAGTGTACATCAATGGAAATTTATTGTCAGGCAACTAAAAAAATAACTAATGTGTGTTACTAAGAAAATTCTCCCATAAGAATATTTTAATAGATCATATGTTTGTCAATTTTTTTAATTTTTATTAAACATATATTTACTTATAAAAAAATTTAACAAAGTAAGATTGACATATTATTCATGTAAGAAAAAACCCGAAAAACTCAAAAACCTGACAAAACCGAACCAATCCGAACCGATATAAATGGTTTGATTTGGTTTTAACAAAAACCGAACTAACACGGTACATGCACACTCCTATTCATTCTCTTACACCATGTGCATCAAAAAAAAAATTCTTTTTACGAAAAAAAAAAAACAAAAACTCGTTACTTTTCTGCTATATAGTTAAAATGTCAGTTTCTTAAAAAGTTCGAAGTGGCTTTTTACATTAAACTCAATTAGACCCTACCTACTTGGTCAAAAGGGGAGAAAAGAAGAAAAAACAAATAGAAAAAAAAAAAATACTCCCTCTGTTCCATATTATATGGGGTAATTTGATTCGGCTGGAGTTTAAGAAAAAAAAAAGACTTTTAAAACTTATGCTCTTAACAACTTAAGGGGTAAAAAGTTTTGGGGCCATGACATTTGTATGGCTATAGAACCTTCTCATTAAGGGTAAATGGGTAAAATGAAAGAGTTTAAATTTGAGTTATTTCTAAATTTAGAAATGTGTTATTTGTTTTGGAATAGACTAAAAAGAAAAGTACCTCATTTAATATGAAACGGAGGGAGCAGCAAACACGTTAAAATTTTGAGAGAGAGAGAATATTTGTTCTTGCTATAACTTTATCTCCCCCCCCGCCCCCCACACACCCCCTCCCCCATTTCTATCCTGATCTAAAAACACATACAAACATGATAAACCAAACCAAAAGCAAGTGTTTTTTTTTTTTTAATTCTTTTAAAAATACAGTTTTATGACAAAACTCATACTCCTACTTATCAAGTAGAATAAAACAGATTAGGTGCACATCAGAGCAGCCTATTGCTGACTTTGAAAATCTTGGACGATAGCACATGATGTTGATGTAAAAAATAAAAAATAAAAAACTAACTTGTCTTATCCAACGTTATTTCTTCTTCTTTTTTCCTATGTGTCTGTCTAGATGAACACATATCTTGAGCAACTCAGTTATATGGTTAAATGGATAGGGAAAGAATAGAAGATGGATTTACAACAACTGATCCTTTGCTTTCTAACCATGAAGATACTCTGGCGCCAGCCACAGCCGCCGTCGTATTCAGCACCTTGGTTGCCGTCTCCGGCTCCTTTGTTTTTGGTTCTGCTGTAAGTTAATTTTCGTTTTACCTTTGCTTCTCTCTATAGTTTGGACTTTGGATTAAAGTCGTTTAACTTTTAAAAAGTGGAAGAAAACGGTAATATAGATTTCACTTTAGTATCAATTTTTTTGATAGAACGTACATACTAAAATGATGGAGGTTCTATGTGCTTTGCTGAATAATAGAAGGGCCAAAATACAATTGGATGATCATTGGTTGTACTTTTTGTGCTCTAGATCCTTTTTGTTTTTCTGCCCCTAGATTTTGTTCGGGGGTCAATTATGCACCCTGAGGCTTTTGACTATCACAGCACATGCCTGTGAAGTTTTAAAAGTGCAAGAAATTACCTGATTAAGGTTTCTAGTTTCTCTCATATCCGTTTTAAAGTTAGCCATTCAAATTGAAAATAAGGCGGGTTTGAGTCAGGGGCATCTCAATGAAATCGGAGGCTTAAAGTCAAAACTTAAGAAGATGTGAGGAAATAACATTAGTAATGTGACAACGGTTGGACAAGTAGACACGATTAATTTAGATAACTAAGAAAAAAAATTGTATGATATTAATAAATTTTCTTTCAAGTTTATAAGTTTTTTTTTAAGTATTACAGTATAATAGTCTTAAATTATTCAAATATTCATATCTACTAATAAAAATATTTGATAACTAGTATGAAACAAAATGCTAATGTTTCGTTAACTTAAAAAAACCTTACTAAGTAATATAAATAATTATAACTAATAGAAAAGGTTTTGGCGAGCCTTTGACTTTTGGGTTCATTTACAAGATTACATGCGGAGCTTGGATCTAGAATCCAAGCTTAATGGATTTATTGAACCCATAGTGCTCCATCCGTATCTATTTACATGATACATGGGCGTGCCTAGATTTTTAATATTTTTTTTTTTTAGTAAACGTTGAAATTTAAAGAACCAACATAACTTCATGTTCAATCTACATGCTTGATGATTAAACCCTTCAACCTCATTAAATGTAAGCACTAGTCATCGTCACTAAACTTGGATGGTGATCAACAACATATTAAAGTTTTAACAAAAAAAATTTAAAAACAAAATACCTGACATATAATGTTAGCTAGAGGCACAACCATTATGATTCACACAGCTTGGTAACTGGTAAGTCTCCGTGACTAGCAGTGCTCGGGAGTAGATCCACTTTTTAAGGGAGAATGTTAACAACTGGAAAGAGTCACGGAAAATGATTTATCAGAAGATTGACCAACCACGAGAATGATCCAAGGTTCATCACTATGACATCAACTAGCAAATGAGCTACTGGAATGAGCGGACCATCACTTTTTAATAGCTCCTACTTGGTTGGTTCTGGCTGAGTATGATTTGCTTGATCTGCTGCTTGTACATCTTTTAATATTTCTAATTCATGGACAACCCCATTTTGAGCGTTGACTAGGGCGTCAAAAAGTGAGCAGATTGGGGAGAGTTTCTCTTTTGCGCATCTTTGGGAGCGGACAAAGTTGATCATATAGTGAATGATTATCATTTTTCACCTCTATATATTAAGTTTTGAACCCCCTTAAAACAACCTTAAAGTGTTGTTTAGTGGTCAAGGGGGTTAAAAACCTTCATAAGGTCATAGGTTCAATTCCCACTGGCTACAAAAAAAAATTTGAACCCCCTTCGTGGAGATCCTGCCTCCGCCGCTAAATATGGTTGTAGTGATATGATCTAGTCGAGCAGTGATTGTTTTGTTATTTGTGGTAGCAATAATAGAAGATGGAGTAAGCATCATGTGTTTGTTACTTGATAGACATCTAGTGCTAGCATTGATGATGTCCAGATGAATATATTTCTCTGTGATAACTCTGTATGTAACATAAGAAGTGGAGTCCTTATGACTTGTTGGCCGTTTCATATAACTAGGTTTTATCCAAAACTGAACTAATGTTTCGTTCTAATGAAGGTGGGATTTTCTTCACCTGCTCAGACTGGGATAATAGAAGAGCTAGGTCTCTCAGTGGCAGAGGTCAGTCCAAACATTATCGAAAATATTATTTTGACCAAAAACAATAGCAGCAATTCTCCTCATGATTCAAGTCAGTCAAGAAGTATTCATTTCACATGAAGTAAAGAATTTGATAAGGCCATAAGATTTGATGTACTCTCTCCGTAGAAGCCCGCGAGAATCTTTAACCTATTTTTTTAATTGTTATCATTCCAGTACTCTGTATTTGGTTCAATATGGACAATTGGAGCAATGATAGGTGCTGTAATGAGTGGAAAACTAGCAGATCTCTTTGCCCGGAGAGGTGTAAGTTTTTGTTTTGTTGGTTAAATATCTGAGCATGTAAAAAATTTAAACAGGGCATCAACCTTTCGTTTACAATCCTTTGTTTTGTGTAATTATGCAGGCAATGGGCCTCTCCGAGATGTTTTGTCTTGTGGGATGGCTTGCAATCATTTTTGGAAGGGTATTTATCTTATCCTTATTTCCACTTTTATGTTGTCATTCTCTCCTCTAAATTAACTTTACTTTTCTATTGTTTTTATTGTCAACAGAATGCTTTATGGCTTGATATTGGGAGGTTGTTAATGGGGTATGGAGTTGGCGTTATTTCATACGTGGTAAATATATCGCGTGTTTATAAAACAAATTAACATACCTTATATTGCAAAAGACTTAGTTGTTGTTTTCTACACATAGGTTCCTGTATATATAGCGGAAATAACACCTAAGAATCTCCGAGGCGCATTCACAACAGTTAATCAGGTAATCCAACAGTTTTAGGTTTTTATTTTCGATATCTGGCAACTGAGCTTGGATACTTGTGATGTTTCAGCTAATGATATGCTGTGGAATGTCACTTATGTATGTAATTGGAGTAATCATCAATTGGCGCCTACTTGCTCTTATTGGTAAATTTTGTTTCTGTCCTTTTCCCTTTAAAAGCCTCTTGCTTCAAACATATTTTTTAATCTGACATAATTTCAGGAACTATTCCATGTATAATACAACTGGGTGGCCTATTTTTCATACCAGAATCTCCTAGATGGCTGGTAAGATTATACAACCTAAGATTCTGATGTATTCATAAATGAGCATGCAGTAATTTTCACTGTGATAGAAGTTGCATTCATTTAATATCTTAATCAGGACTAATTCAACTTATTTTAAATTGAGTTGCCTATGTTTTTGTCAACAGGCTAAGGCTGGCCAGTGGAAAGAATGTGAAGCTTCTCTCCAGCGCCTTCGGGGGAGGGATGCCAATATATCAGAAGAAGCTGCTGAAATTAAAGTGAATTCCTGACTTTCCATGAGTGAAAGCATTTATATCTCTTTTATTTTATTTCCATTTCGATGTTTGTATGACTGGAACTTGACTGCAGGATTACACAGAAACTCTTCAAAAACTCTCCGATGCTAAGATGATTGATTTATTCCAAAAAAAATATGCACATTCTCTTATAGTAAGACAACCTTTAATTTTCTCTTACAGAACAATTGATCTTTTATCTTCTCTGATCAATAAAAATATTATCATTACCTATCGATTCAGGTTGGAGTGGGCTTAATGGTATTGCAACAATTTGGAGGGGTCAATGCTATTGCATATTATGCAAGTTCTATTTTTGAGTCAGCTGGTATGTAATGTTCCTATACTTTGTGTTACATTAGTCTCTTGTTAATAGAAAAATAAATAAATTTGATTATGTTAATACAAAATATATCAGGTTTCTCCGGTAGGATAGGATCAATTGCAATGGTGGTTGTACAGGTTAATATCTTGACGCGGTAAATCAATTATGAGTTCGCTTTGTCAGAGTTTGAGTGTTTCGGGCAATCTGCAGATCCCAATGCAAGTTTTAGGAGTTCTCTTGATGGATAAATCAGGAAGGCGTCCATTACTGTTGGTAAATATAATGTTTATTAGAACTCATTGTATTGGTTATGTATTTCTCTTTGATGAATAACTTTTACTTATATAAGGTTTTCTTCAGGTATCTGCAGCAGGCACATGCTTGGGTTGCTTTCTTGTAGGATTGTCATTCTTATTACAGGTTTGACGTTTAAAATTCTTATCGTTCAGTTCTTTTCTGTGTCTGATTCATTTTCTGATAAAATGTAGTTCACAGGATCTTCAACTTTGGAAGTCTAGCCCCTTATTGGCACTTGTTGGTATACTGGTAATACAATTTCATCCTTTCATGCAATCACCTGGATACTTCTTTATGTAACACTATTTGTATCCTAAGCAGAGGCGGATCCAAGATTTAAAATTAATGACTTCCTACAACGATCTTAATTAACATACAATAGTTTATGGGTTCACAATATGATATTTGTAGATATTTAATGAATTTCTTAGTATATATACAATGTATAAACAAAAGCTACTGGGTTCCGATGAACCCGAGCCTTGTGCTCTGGATCCGCCCCCGATCCTAAGTTGCTCGGACACTGGTGCGGGTCTCTAACACGGGTACGGATCTAGAAATCGGATCCTTCGAGATATAAATTCTATGATTCGGGGATATGGATCCTAGAACAGATACAGGTACGGAAATCCGGCTACAAGTAATTCAAAAAATTAAAAATATAAAAATATCTCTAAATTATGAGAAATTTTGTGGAATACTTACGTAGAGTTTGTAAAGTGTAATTTTCTTTTTTATTCTCAAGTTGTAGATAAGTTAATGATTGATTTCCTAGATAAGGTATAATATTTTGTTCAAATTTACCCTATTTTTGGTTATGATTTCGGGAATCAAATTGTATGTAGTCTCGAATTTTTCCGCCCGTCATGGTCAAAGCACCCAAAATTATTTGACCAGATCCAGTACGGATCCCACATTTATTGAATCAAATCTATTTGAAAATTGTTGTCAGGTTTTCACTGGATCATTCTCATTAGGCATGGGAGGTATACCGTGGGTGATTATGTCAGAGGTTTGTTGTTCTAAAAGTTACCTCATTAATTATAAATATTGGTACAATACAAATCAAACACAATTTAAGCTAACTGTTTCTATCTCAGATATTTCCAATTAACGTCAAAGGTTTAGCTGGAAGCCTTGTGACAGTAGTCAATTGGTTCGGTTCTTGGATCGTCTCATATTCGTTCAACTTTCTTATGCTATGGAGCTCTGAAGGTACTGTCTTGTCTATCAATATCCACTTCCTCAGACGAAAACAGAAACTGAAAAGAAATTAAGGCTTTGGTTTAGATACATGTCATGAGTTCGAATGCTGATGCGAACTAAAAGGTTGTTATCTAGCTAGAAATTGATAGAGGGTCAGATCCATTGTTATTGAATTTCCAACTGCACGCCAGTTGGTCCTCGTGGATTTCTCGGTTATAAAGAGAGAGCTATTGCATAATCGAGACATGTTTTTTTTTTTTGCTGAATTTATCTTTTGTTGGTGTTTCAGGAACATTCTTCATATTTTCAGCAGTATGTGGTTTGACAATTATGTTTGTCGCAAAACTGGTTCCGGAGACCAAAGGCCGCACCTTGGAAGAAATACAATTGTCGATGAATTCCTATCTTAACCAGTCATGAATTGTATGTTCTATGCGATACATTAATGTCTTGGTATATTTCTTTGTTTCTTAAATCCTTGGAATTTGTTCACAAGTATTAGTGATATAGTAATGAATATACTGCTTCAAAACATCATAGAAAAATGTATCTTGGTTTAGTGCATTAATTAGTTTGAGCACAAGATATCCTAACAAATGAACTTCTCAGCAATCAGCATAAAAAATATTAATCGACTACGTGTGCTTTTCTCTAAGAAATTAAATATTGAATTGATGTGATATATTAGTTTTAGATATGAGGAAATGATGCGATTCTTCGAGTTAACAAAGAACCAACAGATCGGGATCAAGATTTTGAAATGAAAACCTAGGTTTGTGGGATGATTTAAAGAAACAATGTATCTCAAGTTTTAGGACTCAGAATAGATGATTAAAAAACGAGGTGAAAGATGACGATATGAATTATAAGAAAGACTAATTACTCGTTCAAAACAAGTAAATATTGGTGTTGCACTAGTTCAATGAATGTTCTGATTTTTATGATATCAAAGAACAAATTTAGATTAAGAAACGTGTTCTTGAATAATCAAAACTTAAAAAGTTCCTAAAATCACCACTTGGAAACAATTAACATGATAAAGAAACATCACCACAATTGAAAATAAGAGTATCACCACCTTGCTTGGAACCAAAAACAAGGATAAAGAAGACAAAATAAAGAAAAATACTCTATTGCGAATTAGGGCAAATATAAAAAACGTGAATTGTATTCTACAAGGCATGAGTACACTTTATATAGGCCTAAGGTCTCTTCTTTGTTAACTATAATTTTTATACTAAGGAAATAAAATAGCTAAAGATAACAACAACAACGACAACAACCCAGTAAAATTTCATAAGTGGTGTCTGGGGAGACTAGCATATATGCAGGCCTTACCCCTACCTGGCGGAGTAGAGAGGTTGTTTCCGATAGACCCTCGGCTCAAGAAGACAAAAAAAAATCCATATTCTACAAGGAAAAGAAACTAGAATCCTAATAAAAGAAAAATCCTTATTCTGAAGGAATATATTAAAGAAAGTCTATACCTATCAAGAAAAAGAAACAAGAAATTCTTTTTTGTAAGAAACAATAAATTCTATTTTAAGAAGGAAAGAATCTTGGTTTCTTGAAACCAATCTTGAGCTTCTTGGACTTCTTGCGCTTCTTGAAAAAAAATCGATATGTTTGAACTTGAACTCTAAAACATGATCTTGACCAAAGTTAATAAAATTAAACATAGACTCATCATTTCATCCGGATATGTAGTAAAAGCTATTAACAGATTAAATGCATGTGGATGAAATATTTATGCCTTTATTGAGATTGGTCAGTTGAAATTTCTATTAGTCGAAATGTGTTACATAAATCAAGTTTGGATTGTGACACAATTAACATGAGAGAAAAAATTGAGAAAATAACGATGAAGACCGTTAAAATGGGAAGCCGGTGGAATTGGAGGGTTTGAAGTAAGTATCGATTATAGTGATTTCCTTTTTTCAATTTTTTTTTATTGGTAACATTGTGAATATTACGATTGATCAATCAAATGATAAATAATATAGAGCACTTTACATCATAATCACCTCCTCAAAAGTACTATGAATGTTCAGTCTCAGCTCAAGTCTATACATCAGTGATATTCCTCAAGAATTCTCTACATCTACTTGCCTTCTTAGACTTATGGATATCATTTAATCTAACTAATATTTCCTTCTTTATCTGTTCTACAACATCTGCAATATTAACATTGACTCGTTGAAAGATCTTCCAATTTCTTGCCTTCCACGTATGATAGAATAGAGCTCCCATTGTAGCTGCAACCACTTCTTTCTTTAACTGTTTCCATTTCTTCTTTTTAATGTTGTTCATTATGCTCGCTATATCCCCTTCTTGCAGTTGTACACTAAGCCATCGCAGCACCTCAGCACGAGCATTCTTTATCCAAGTGCATTCCACAAATATATGTTGGTTGGTTTCAGGTTTTTGTTCTTCGCATAAACAACAATCTATGTTGTCTACTTGAATCTGCAACTTCACCAATTTCTCCCTTGTAAACAGTCGACTTTGAGCTCCAAGCGTCAGAAAAAACCTGTGCTTTGATTGTGCTACACTGCTCCATATCAAATCTGACATATGCAGTCTTTACATTCCCCCTAGTAATGCAATATAGCTCCAAGTTATTGAATAGCCACCACCCCTTCTCAGGTTGTATACTCCTTGTTCATACCATCCATACATGTCCTCCTTCAAAGAGTTAATTTTCTTCCAATACGAACTGCAGTCAGCAGGTATCTTATGATTCCAAATGTTAGTATCGGTCTTCTTAAACAATTCATGCACCCACTTCAGCCATAGAGCAGCTGCCATAATAATAATATTCCCACAGAGGTCACATTCCATAGTTCTGCCTTTAACATTTAGCCCACCAATTTTTTTAGGAAAACATATTCTTTCCCATGCCATTAGGGCTAGTTTTTTTCTGTCTTCAGTACTCCTTCATAGGTAGTCCCTACATATACTGTCCACCTCTTTTACCACTACCTGAGGTAGAATGAATACAGAACTCCAGAAGATATAGATGGAGAACAAAACAGAATTAACCACCTGCAATCTGCCCGCATATAACAATTGCTTAGAATATCATGTTTTTATCCTGCTAGTTATTCTGTCTACTAGCTCACTGCAATTTTTATTATACTAAGAAAATAAAATTGACTATAATTTTATTATACTAAGGAAATAAAATAGCTAAAGATAACAACAATCGAGTAAAATCCCGTAAGTGGTGTCTGGGGAGGGTAGTATATATGCAGGCCTTACCCCTACCTGGCGGAGTAGAGAGGTTGTTTCCAATAGACCCTTGGCTCAAGAAGACAAAAAAAATTCATATTCTACAAGGAAAAGAAACTAAAATCCTAATAAAAAGAAAATCCTTATTCTAAAGGAATATAATAAAGAAAGTCTATACCTATCAAGAAAAAGAAACAAGAAATTCTTTCTTGTAAGAACAATAAATTCTATTTTAAAAAGGAAAGAATATTGGCTTCTTGAAATCAATCTTGAGCTTCTTGGACTTTTTGCGCTTCTTAAAAAATTTGATATGTTTGGACTTGAACTCTAAAACATGATCTTGACCAAAGTTAATAAAATTTAAAATAGATTTTTCCTTTCATCTGGATATGTAGTAAAAGCTATTGACATATTATATACATGTGGATGAAATATTTATGCCTTTATTGAGAACGGTCTGTTGAAATTTCTACTAGACGAATTGCGTTATATAAATCTAATTTGGATTATGACACAATTAACATGAGAGAAAAAAAATAGAGAAAATAATGATGAAGACCGTTAAAATGGGAAGTCGGTGGAATTGGAGGGTTTGAGGTAAGTATCGATTGTAGTTATTTTCCTTTTTTCAGCTTTTTTTTTTTGGTAACATTGTGAATATTACCAATGATCAACTAAATGATTACACCTATAGAGCACTTTACATCATAATCACCCCCTCAAAGGTACTATGAATATTCAGTCTCAGCTCAAGTTTATACATCAGTGATATTCCTCAAGAATTCTCTATATCTACTTGCCTTCTTAGACTTATGGATATCATTTAATCTAACTAACGTTTCCTTCTTTATCTGTTCTAAAGGATTTGCAATATTTACATTGACTCCTTGAAAGATCTTCCAATTCCTTGCCTCCCACGTATGATAGAATATAGCTCCCATTATAGCTGCAACCACTTCTTTCTTTTACTGTTTCCATTTCTTCTTTTTAATGTTGTTCATTGTGCTCGTTATATCCCTTTCTTGCAGTTGTACACCAAGCCAACGCAGCACCTCAGTACGATCATTCTTTATCCAATTGCATTCCACAAATAGATATTGGTTGGTTTCAGTTGTTTGTTCTTCGCATAAATAACAATCCATGTTATCTACTTGAATCTGCAACTTCACCAACCTCTCCCTTGTAAACAGTCGCCTTTGAGCTCCAAGCCATAGGAAAAACCTGTGCTTTGGTTGTGCTACACTGCTCCATATCAAATCTGCTATATGCAGTATTTGCATTCCCCTAGTAATGCAATGTAGTTCCTAGTTATTGAATAGCCACCACCCCTTCTCAGCTTATATATCCTTGTTCATACCACCCATACATGTCATCCTTCAAAGAGTTAATTTTCTTCTAATACCAACTGCAGTCAGCTGGTATCTTATGATTCCATCTGTTAGTATCAGTTTTCATATACAATCCATGCACCCACTTCACCCATAGATCTTCTTTATTATTAAGTAGCTGCCATAATAATTTCCACACATAGGCCACATTCCATATTTTACTGCCTTTAACATTTAGCCCACCAATTTTTTTAGGAAAACATATTCTTTCCCATGCCATTAGGGCCACTTTTTTCCTGTCTTCAGTACTCCCCCATAGGTAGTCCTTACATATATTATCCACTTGTTTTACCATTACCCGAGGTAGAATGAATACAGAACTCCAGAAGTTGTAGATAGAGAACAACACAGAATTAATCACCTGCAATCTGCTTGCATATGACAATTGCTTAGAATATCCAGTTTTTATCCTGCTAGTTATTCTGTCTAGTAGCTGACCACAATCCAATTTGTTCCATTTCTTAGATGAAAGGGGAAGCCCAAGATATCTAATTGGGAAAGAGCCTTGAGTGAATCTTATTTTCCTAACAGCTGCTCCTTAGTTAATTCATCCACCCCAGCAATGAAGATATTAGATTTATCCTGATTGGCAATTAGTCCTTATGCCTCACTAAAATGATATAAAGCTTTTACCACCCTAGTAACTGATGTCAGGTTACCTTTGCAGAAGATCATAAGATCACCAGCAAAGATCAAGTGAGTTAGCTTTAACTGTTTGCACATGGGGTGAAACTGAAAATATGGAAGTTCACTCATAGTTGAAAGAACTCTAGACAGGTATTCCATTACTCACACAAATAGTAGAGGAGACATAAGATCTCCCTGCCTTAGTCCCCTTCTCCCCTCAAAATAACCACGTCCTTTACCATTTACTTTGATAGAGAATTTATTAGTTGTTACACATACCATAATCCA